TCCCAGAAAATTTATATAATTTTCGTTATTTGTTGTTTATAGCATTCTGTAATTATACGTCTATAATTAACCTTCATGTTATTTAAAAAGAAATAAAATACTGATTCAAAAGATGTATTTCTGATATTTTGTTTTTATAATTTTGTTTTAACATTTATCTGAACTCATTGCAACATTCACAAGACAACTAAAATGAATAGATTTGTAAAATAATCTTTTATAATTGTTGAATAAAGTGAGCTTGAAAAAAACTACTTTTTGCATCGTATCGATACCAGTCAAATTCCACATAAGAAAATTTGTTGTAACATCACTATTGCAGGAGACATTTAGATGAAAACGTTTAGGTGGATCACTCTGTATATTGTATATAGGGTGTCCCAAAATTATGGTACTACCGGGACAAGAGTTATCGACGAAAAACAGAGACCAATGAAAGACGAGATCAGTTGGTGCGAGGCGGCTGAGCCAATAAGCGGATTCTTTTGTTAAGGTTATAATCTTTTTGTCTTCAACTTTGGTAGTTGACACGTTAGGTTACTATAAAAACAAATTCCGTGTAGTTTTGTTTACAACTGACAGTTTGCTGTCAATTTTAACATGGAGTGCAAAAATGAACATTTTCGACATATTTTACTTTTTTTATTTTCATAAAGGCAAGAAAGCGGCCGAACTCACAAAGAGAGATGTATAGTTTATGGCGTTGATTGCTTAACAGAACGCACGTGTCAACATTGGTTCAAAAACTCAATCAAACTTGATTATGGTCATCGAACAGAATGGAAAATATTTGACTGATTAAAGATCATTTTTTGTATAGAAAAAATTGAGTTTTATTTCACATTGGTATAACTTTTTTTAAAACTGGACTATAAACGATTTGATTTTTTTTTAAATATTAATGAGACTAATTTACTGTACTGTTTAATTTTGCTATTGCTTGGAATGACAAAAGAATAAAAATCTTGTTTATTAATTTTTTATCTCAGCCTGACTGTGTCAGTTGACACAGTCAAATTCACGTACATACACCATGGCAAGCTACAGCCACTGAAAGATGGCACTATAACCCAGGATCGAACAAAGAAGTATCAGGACCCTGTATATCTATATATAATTTTTCTATTAGTTTTCTTCTTATTCTTTTTTATTTCATTTTATTCTTATTCTTATTTTAATTTAATATGGAAAGGAATTTTTAAATAAGGTACTTCTCTTGCATTCCTCAATTTGTCTCGCCAACTAAACTTATCGACGAATTTCATGAAAACTCTCTCTCTCTCTCTCTCTCTCTCTATTTATTTTAAGCTACTGCGTCTGGATGAAAATATAATTAATATAAGTTATGAAATATACAACTATATATGACCATAACGTTACATTTTACATTTGAATTTCCCTTTTGGGGAAATACGGTAGCACCATCGCAAATCATAACTATGTTCGCGTGGTCACGCAAAAATACATTTTCTAATTTCGAATCTCACTTTTATTTATATTGGTAATACTGTAAGAATTATAATGTAGCATAGTCACATAGACGCATACACTTTCAAAAGTTTGTCACTAGATGCTCACAAATTCAAACTTGTTTTCGTCATCTTTCGTTTTCGCAAGTTGTTCAATAGTAATTTATAGGGAAAGTTTTAGGGAAAGGAAAGTTATTCGTTCAAATGTGTATACATTCGGAAACGTATGTTTGTAAGCTTAATTTTGTTGTATAATTTTATCGATTTTAGATGGATTATTTTTTATTTGTTACATGTATATTGAACATTTTTTACGGTATCGTCTATTATTTCTTGACTTATCTACCATTAAAATAGAACAGTGATTTTACTAATATCGATAACGTTGCTTAAACTGAATGCACGCGGATTTAGCAGGTATGTAACTAGATGCAATGAAAACGTGTTCGCTATGTTTGACGTGAGTCAGTAGTAGAAAAATATTGGATAACAATGGCGGACGAGGAACTACCAGCGGGTTGGGAAAAACGCTTAAGTAGATCTACCGGTACGTCAATTTATAAATAATACTAAACAAAGCATGTAGAAATGTATCTTCTGTGATATATTTTGCTTATTTATAATTAACTTGTTCAGTGATTTATGTCATTTCACTATAGAGACGATAGTATGAGGTATACAGCCGGCATTTTTTCGCAAAACTATCATTATTTTTATTAAATAAAAAATACAGTTGACATGAAATCATAGTTTCATAATCGCTATACTCTAAGTTACAATAGAACGTCATAAATTTTCGTATCCTAATATGTTTTATTACAAGATATGTGTCATAGATTTGGATCTGTACGACGTGTATTTTTAACACAAATTAATTCCTTCATAGGGCAGCATTATTATTTAAATATTTATACTAAGGAAAGTCAATGGGATAGGCCAGATAAACCAGCAGATCCATCTGGAAGTAATAAAGGCGATGGTCCAGAAGAGGTTCAATGTTCTCATTTATTGGTAAAACATTCAGGATCTAGAAGACCTTCTTCCTGGCGAGAAGAAAATATTACGCGATCAAAAGAAGAAGCTCTAGATCTTATTAAATGTAAGTTATTGGCAAGAGATTTACATCAATAACAATTTGATCTGTTATCGTAAATCACATCTTATATTTCAGTTACTTGTACTTGTATTTAATAAATTAATATAATTGAATTTACAAACTTAGCTTACAGGGAACAGATAGTATCTGGGAAAGCAACATTTGCAGAACTTGCTTCAAAGTATAGCGACTGTAGTTCTGCTAAACGAGGTGGAGATTTGGGACCATTCACTCGAGGGGCTATGCAAAAGCCATTTGAACAAGCAGCATTTGCCCTTAAAGTTGGCGAACTATCATCTCCTGTGCATACGGACAGTGGTATCCATATTATCCAGCGAACAGCATAAAGAAGATTAATCTCAAATAAAGTATTCAATCTTTTAAAACCGGTTGCCTCAGTTTTGCCAATAATATATGTTTAACTAAAGGGGCAATTTTGGATACCTCTATTAAGCATCAAGCACATATACTCGTACAATGACAGAATTTTTCTGTGTGAACAATACACATGCAAACAACATTCTAATATTTCAGCATGGAGTTATATATTTGTGTCTTCCAGTGATCTAAGCAGACATGGATTATTGAAGATTATTAATGTTTCCTTCATGATAAAAAAAGCAGCAAAATCAGTTTCCAAAAAGTAAAGCAAGATAAAATAGACGAGATATGCATGCTTTAACAGAGTTCTCTATTTTTATCTGCTGCCCTTACATTCCTTAAGTATTAGATTAATTTTATTAACTTAATATGTCAATTTAACTGTCTCTAGAAAAAAATTTTAATAATCCCTGCTCTAAAGCAAACAAAATTTAATTGAAATTATTGAATACATTTTTAACATACATTTTTTCCAATTCAGTTGGA